GGGGAGGGGGGGAGGGGGGTGGCAAAGTAAAACCAAACAGTGACACCTTCAAAACACCCACGGTGACGGTCATATTATATATAGAGTAGAGATAAGACGTAGAGGATCACCCAGTGACACCCTCCAACCTCCCACAGAATGTCGGTCAGTCACCGATCGAGTAGGAGTGCTGCCGAAAGTAAAAACCGGAAGAAAAAAGCACTTGAGAAGACTCTCCCTTACGACAGCTTCTACTCAAACCTGGTCTCTCATACAAGCGCGGAGTACTCACACATGCTTGCACACACGCGACACAAGCACTGCTGACGCACACACACGCATATATGGACATACACAGACACAGACACAGACACACACACACACACACACACACACACACACACACACACACACACACTCACACATGATCAGCAGATGTGGTGAAAAATGAAAAGGACATTTTAGTACAAGAGCCCCCTCCCAAAAAAACACAAAAAACAGCAAAAATAACAACCCCCCAAATTTTTAAAAAAATTAATGAAATAAAAGACGAAGCAAACAATCAAACGAACAAATTAACAAACAAATAAACGTCTTCAAAAGTTTTTGAATGACCACAAAGCGCCCCTGATCAGTCATAAGAACATCCCAGTCGAAGTACATTCCCAGCTTATCAAGATTATCTTCATACCAACATTAACATACCAGTGTCAAACATGGCCCCTAAATAAAGAACAAGAAAGAAAAACCAATATATGCGACATTAGGTTTCTCCGCAAAACCAGTAATATCACCAGTAGAGACCACACAAAGGAACGAGACCATACATCTACAAACCGGAATACCACGAATAATAAATTTCATTTAGCTTCAAAGAGTCAAATATAACCTGAATGCCCCTGTAACGACTACCGGCAAGAGCTTATCACACCCGTGCATCCGGCTTCTAATCAAGACACAAAGACCAAGAAGGACCTGGCTCATAGACCTGGCTGAATGGGGTAAAAAAGGTCCTGGAACAACGTAACGTTCTATGGCCTAACAGACGCTACAAACTTAGCTCAGGACCGAAACATTCACCTCCCCTCGACATCCTAAGGATACCAGAGGAATGAAAAAGTAAAGTAAGAAAGTGCGTCCTCGATAAGTTAAAAAGCTCTTATGACTGCCTATGAAGTCCAACCCGCTCTGAGTTCTGTTTGTTTTTGTTTTTGTTGTGTTTTAGTATGATTTTCCGCACTTTCAACACAATAGGTGCCGAAGATTAGAGGTGTTACACAAGAGCAACATGGTGAAGAGATAACGACGATAGATCCTTGATAGGAAAGAAAGAAGGAGAAGACCACTCCTAACCAGAGCATCTGAGACGGACGTGACATCCTAGTAGACAAATGGAAACACTCGATGCATCGAGGTTTTCATCGTTAGA